GAAAAAAAAGAGTTTTGTGTGCTCAGTAACATCATTTGTTATTTCACTAACATGTCTTATGCTCGGGGAGAAGTAACATGACAAGGAGGTAAAAATACTGCCTAAAAAATCAACATCAGCTCTCAGAATCTCTTAATATGGTTGGAGGGAGAGAGCTTAGCTCAAGGGGAAGAGTTAACCTCAGTTTTGGTGAGTCAGTGACTATTTCTTTGTGCATTTATCAGCATTTTAGGTGAGACTAACAGCACTTTACACAGAGACTCAGTGGGAACAGTGAAGCATCAGTCTGAGGCCTGGAGCTGTCTGAGAAGTTTTTGAGTTTGCAGTTGACATTTTGGTCTGTTTGTAGCTTCTTTTTAAGTTTTGCTCCTTCCTTTTGCCTAGGTGAATGTCATCCCTTCTTCTGCCAAAGCCACAGTGAACTTCAGGATCCACTCAGCTGAGACAGCTGCTGAGGTACTCACTGCACCCATGTGCCAAAGAGCACATGGATCGTGTGTGATCATGGAATGGGAGTGTGAAGGTTTGTGACCTGTGAGAAAATGGGAATCTGATTGCACTGGGGCCAAAAGGACAGAGCCTAAGCTCTAGCCATGCACTGAGTGAGAGGAAGAGAGACACACAGTTCTAGTCTTAACTGTCATCTGTGTTTGCAGCCACAACTGACAACTCACAGATGTTTTCTGGGGAGTGGAACACCTGCTGATGTCTCTGAGGGATAGTTCCTCATTTCTTGTGCTCATTTGGTCTCTGTGTTTTCCCCACAGGTGCTGGAGGCAGTTAGAAACACCATTGCTGACAACAGGGTGAAGATTGATGTGGTAGAGGCCTTTGACCCACTCCCCATCAGTCCTTGGGATGACCAGACATTTGCAGTCCATGTTTTTCAAAGGACCATCCTGGATACTTTCCCAGATGTTGACAATGTAGTCCCAGGTACCAGCAGGCACATGATGGTTATTTCCTCTCCAGCTCCTGCCCTGCTCTCCTCCCCTCCCTCCCCCAATATTGCCTTGTTTCCACATGCTGTGTCCTCCTCCACCCCAGCTGTTAACTGCTGGAAACAGCTGGGTTTTCCTCTTTTTATTCCCTTCCCTCTTTATGCTTTAAACGTTTTCATGTTGGTGTTTAGTAGTGGAAGTAAAAAAAAAAAAAAGCAAACAGGAAACTGCCAAACAATGAGCCTTGAATTGGACTCTCTGCACATACAAAGGAATCTGTTAGGGAAGAAAGGAGTTGTGAGGGAGAGGAGGAGGTTGCTT